CCTCCCCCGGGCGCGCCACCTCCGGGGCCCCCCGCCGCGCCGCTCCTCCCCGAAAGTTGACGGAGTTCCCAAGGGGCCGCGCAGCCGCCGGCTCCGTTCCTCCGGCTCCGCGAACCTCGGGGGGTCTCCCCGCGCGGCGGACCTCCGGGGCGGGGGCGGGGGGGGGCGTCAGGCCCTGTGGTCGCACTTGAAGTTCCCCCACTTGTGCGTCGGGAGAAGGTTGGTTCGTCGGGGCGGCAGGTAGGGGGTCTGAACTCTCCGGTCGGGGTGTCGGTGGCCGGGTGTGTGTGTGTCGGGGGCTGGCTCGGGCGGCCGTTCCCCCCCCCCCCCCGCCCCCGGGCCCCGCCGGGGGCGGGGGGGGGGCTCGGGAGTTGGGGGGCTGCGGAAGGGACCCGCTCCCTGCCCTCCGCGGTCGAGTAGATCCCGCCGCGTCGTGCGATGGAAACTTTGCCTTCGGGTTTGGCATCGTCTCTTATTTTGGACAGCTGAGGATTAAAGATCGGTGATAATGCAGACAAGTTTGGGAAAGGTGAGCGGTTCTGAATTAGCGTTTTCTCCCTTCTCCTTGAGAACGTGTAACTATCAGATTCTTGCTCAGACCCGAAATCGGTCTCTGAGCTCTGAAGCTCCTGTCATGAGCCAGTAGGGAATAGTGTAGATCGGGTACAACACAGCGTTAACCTGTATGTTAATTTACTATGAAACTGGGATTTCAGAAACTGCAATTAGAAAGACCCGCTGTGATGTGTTGACAACTGTACTCGTACTTAAAAACTAACATTGTATAACAGTTTTCAAGTTTGTAGCGCATTGTGTTTCCCTTATGCCTTGTATCATCCATTACTGAACGACACTGAGGTTCTCTAAAGTAGTAATTAGGTGTATATTACACAAGAGTACTTTCCCTTTAAGAATCCAGCTGCGTTGTTTTGGCAACTGCTAAGTAGTCTAGTTGTCAGTTTTTAAATCTATGTTACCTTGGCAGTACTTTAACAGTCTGTGGAAAAGGTAAACAAAGTAGTGTTTTTTTTTTTTTTTTAACATACTAAAATGACATTTCTTTTAATGTGAATTTAGGAAACGAGGTTGAAGCAACTATTATGGTATTACGACATTTGTCTATACACCTTTGTCTTGTTTTTGTATCTTTTTGGAGAGCTCTTGACTCTTTTTTCTTGTAACTGGCAACTTCTAGGGGAAACATGCTATCTCAAAGATGATTTAAATTTTAGTTTAGTAATGTTATACAAATGGAGTGTTTACTGGAACATACAGTATGAGACAGTATAATTAGTATTTGTTGTGGGTTCACTGAACTGGAATTAATTTTAATTTTCAGTGCATATTGTTGCAGAAGTTGAGAGGATAATGTTAAAATAGTGAAAGCACTTTAAAGAGCAAACCTGGCTATTTATATGCTTGCATACTATATTAATAATTCTTGTTGCAAGAGTGTTTTCAAAGATATGTACTAAAACAGTGAATGCTTGTGAAGAACAGTGACCTCTAAATACAACTGTACTTACCCATTTCCTTCAATTCATACTGTTGTTACATGTAAAATCATAGTCTTTCCATGAAGGTAAAAGTGCACTTAACTCATCCTAGAAGATTTTAAATTGAAGAATTGGAGAGTGATCAAGGAAGGAAATAGCTTTCTGAGGCTTAAAAATGATTGTAATGTCAGCATGTTGAATTGTGCCCTGAGAATAATTTAATTCTCTATGTAGCTTTTATATTTCTACAATGGTGTATGTGGCAAAGGTTTTGTTTTATTTTGGTTTTAGTAAATGTAATTGGAAATAAAATTTTCTAGATGTTGAGTTGTTTCAGATGCTGATTCTGTATTTTTTCACCACAGCTTTGTATTTGAAGGTGAAGTTTGCTAATGTAGTTATATCTTAGTAGATTGTGTTATGATTTAGGAGGGGTCCACAATCAAATTTGTTTTGGCAAAGTAGCATGTTTGTCACTCTGTTTTCCTCTTGTATCTTTTAGTCTGGTAGGAAGAAGAATTTATTATAACATAGTGATGAAAATGATGAATTTCAGAGGCGTTTACATTTAAAACATTCAGTCTTATCACATCATGCTCCCCCTTTAAAGATAAGCTCGAAGTTCATAGGAATGTTACAAAGTCTAGTGGAAGCTTTTTTATCAGTGAAGGGCAATGAGAATACTATTTTGTGTATTGAAAATGATCACTATTGCCTTTTTTCCAAGATTAAAAAGATTTGTAAATGTGGTCTTCATAAACTAAGAAGTGAATGCCTTCTCCAGTTTAAGAAAAGTAAATAGGGAAATTGAGTGAAATTTTAGGGTAGATAAGGGCATGCAAGGTTTAGGGTAGATAAGGGCATCAGAGATTTGCAAAGGAAGGCTGTTTAATTTTGTTTTAGTTAGATCTTGATTTAGATGCTAACTTTACTGCTGACAAAATTAATGAAATAATATCAGAAAAATGGAAAAGAATTGTGTCACTTGTCCTATGGCATTAGAATTTAAATCTGATGCGTACATAGCTTACTGCTTGAGCCTTGATGTTCAAAAATGCATGTTACCCAGTGTCCCTCCTTCCCTGCTTGCTTTCATGTGTCTTTTCGTATGACAGGTATGTATGTGTGCTCGTGTGAGAATGCTTAGTGTTTGAGACACAAAGGACTTTGTACAGGAGAATGCTCATGTGTCTATTTTGATAAAATATCCCAGTGCTAGTGTCAGTTCACTCTCAGACAGCACATAAAATGTTTACTTGACTGTTTTACTTTAAATTTTTGATCTTTGACTGTGACTTGCTTTTAGTCTTACTCTCCCCCATTCTTTTTAGAATTAGATTTGAGTATTAGTAATCTTCCAATTCCTCACTGAGTTATGTCTTGTGTTATGAGAGTTCTTTTCAAGATGTGGTCTTTAACATTTGAAATTAGAAAAAAAAAATTGTTCAACCTACACGGAATAAATATACTTGAAAAAGCTTTTCATTAGTAAGTAATCTATAATTTTTTCATACTTTATTTTGCCTGGTCTGTGAAACTAAAAGACTTCATCTGTATTTATGTAATCTGTGTACCATATGATAAATGCACCCTCTTCCAGTTTACTATAATTAAATAGTATAAACTCATTTGTTAATTAGAAAGTCTTATGTTATAGCATAGGCTCTGTACTGGCATTACCTTATTAAGTACTTTTGTAATTTTATAGATTTTTAGCAATATTTGTATTAACTGAATTTAACTGATAATATCACATTTAATTTTAATATGCACTGTATTAATAGTAACTGAAGGTAAATACACGTATCTAAGTTTAAAACATTAGACTGTGTAGGAGAGGTGGAATACCATATCTATACAAGTGTTGTATGGTGGCAGGTAATTTACCAGCATTAGTTAGCACTTGATGCAGAAACCAGAGAGCACTTTCTAAAAAGGTGAATATACCTTTAACAGATATCAGACGAGGCATATTTTTTTCTTAAGCGTTTGAGGATCAAACCCAGCGTACCACTTGTGAGGCAGATGCTCTCCGTACCACAGCCACATCCAGCCCTCCAAAACAAGTACATCTTTTAATGGCTGTTCTGAATTAATGTTAGTTTTATTTTCTAAGCAGGAATACAGACTTTGTGGATTTAAAAAAAATCTGGAAAAGTTTTATGCTTTGAGAAATGTTTTCAGTAATGGATGGCAAGTTTGTGTTAATGAGCTGGTCTTCTCCCTTGTTTTTGTGACTAGCAGCATACATATGCAGTTATGCAGTTTGACATGAGTTTGGGATATGACTCTTTGTGTCTCTTGGAGCAAAGAGCTACTTTCTATTTGACCTTGTAAGATAACTTGTAACTTGGGCTTACTAAAAACAAGGTATTCCATCTGGCTGGCATTGCATAATGCTGTATTTGCCTGTTTCACCTTTGGTCCTTACTCCCAGAAGTTTATTTACTATGTAAGATTAGAATTGTATTTCTAAAATTCAGACTCAATATGCCAGTTCTCTTTTTTTTTTTTTTTTTTTTTAAAAATGTATGTGTTTTTTGCCTGCATATGTGTGTATACCACATGTACCTTGATGCTCAGAGGTTGAAGAGGGTGTCGGGTCCTCTGGAATTGGTGTTAAGGATGGTTGTAGGCCACCATGTGGATGCTGGGGACGGGAACAGGTAGGTTCTCCGCAAGAGCAATACGTACATTTAACACTGAGCCATTTTCAGCCCTACATGCCAGTTTGCTTGAAACCAAAAACAGAAACAAAACCTTTGAAGGCATAGGAAAGATCAGTAGAGGGGCTGTAAAGCAAAGTTAAGAGATTGCCCTCTAAAAAGAGACTGTTAAGTGAAAATACCACCCTATTTAGTGTTCTTTGAGAAATCCTCTCTCTGAGGCTGGTGTTCATTGTGTAAAACGGTTCGTAACATTGACTCCAGTGAGTTGTTGAGGGGATTCAGTTAGATGTGAGTATAGTAGAATGACTGATTGCGTAGTATGCAGGAATTTTTCCTGT